GGTTGCCCAGAGAGGTGGTGGATGCCCCATCCCTGGAAACATTCCAGGTCAGGTTGGACGGGGCTCTGAGCAACCTGATCTAGTTGAAGATGTCCCTGCCCACGGCAGAGGGGTTGGACTAGATGACCTTTAGAGGTCCCTTCCAACCAAAACTATTCTATGATTCTATGAAGATCTCCCAGACAACATCTTGTCCACAAATTACACATTGGAAAACATCAGGACAGAAAGGTCATTTTCTTCAGTTAACAGAGGATAATCTGGGACAGTTACAAGCACTTTGACGGAGAGACGCAGAATCCAAAGTCACTTGAAGCAAGTGCGAAAGTCATCCGAAATAATACAGTTTGACAGAGCAAATAGGTAAGAATAATCAGCAGCATAACACAACATGGAAGGCAAGGTTAAATACTGTTCTGCCCAGAGATATGTTGAGTGGTAAGGTGCTAAAGAATCTGGGGTTTATGCTGAACATAAATCACACATATCACCGCAAAAAATAAAAAATATGTAAAGACTCATCATTCTACTGAGATGTATGAAATGGAGGTATCATATGAAAAGCACATGAAAGAATTTTGACACTGCCTATTGCACTAAGGACTCAGATGGAGCACCGTGTCCAGTTCCAGTGTTCCAGAAAAATGCAAACCACGTGGAAAAAGCCTCAAGAAAAGCAGTGAGAATAGCCCACAGATATATATATAAAAAAAAAAAAATTAAAAAAACCACTGAAGAGAGGAGACTGAAGGAATGGGATTTCTTAAGTGTAGAAAACACTGAAAAGAAAGCCCCCAAAACATGTGACATGTTCCTGCAGAAGAGGTGTAATAAAGAGTTCACAAGGTGTATAAAATGCATGTTAGAGTTCTTAAATGCTTAAATTATAGCAAATAAATTTAGATTAGAAATTAGGAGAAGTATTTTTAATGGTAAGAAGAGCAAACTATTGGAAAAGATTGCCTAAGAAGGGTAAATCTCCATCAGAAACTTATGTTAGCTCATTTGCTTTGAGAACTAGTTAGACATTCCTTCCTTGTGCCTGAAACACGGTGAATTTATGAAAGAACAAATGTCTATTACCTCCCCTTTTTCCCCTCACACTTCATTCACAGGTGCCTCATCTGAGCTTCCAGCTTCTACATCAGTTATTACGAGAATTTATTAACCATTACTAAGAAATTACTTCCAGCATGAAAGCTTTGTAACATCATATGGAAATAATAATAAAAACACAACCTTAAAGGGATTATTGGAAGGATATTACAGAGGAAGAGCGACCCACTTGAACCACATCAAGATGGAGAGTCCTTAATTACAACAAAAACAAAGAAATCCAGAGATCCTACGTACACAGTGGCTTCAACTTTACCCTCATACACATATGCTTTAAAGCAGTGGTGCCCAGCTGCAGAAACACCCTTTGTTGGGAAGGTAAAAGATGAACTAACAGACCTTGCTGGGTCCAAGTAAGGTCAGTCTGGGTGGCTCTGCATAGCCCTCTCCTGGCAAGCACCCTGCAGAGATACCCGGCTGGCTCAACCCAGGGCCACACAGATTCAGACTACCGATCTGGTCTCGGATAAAACACTTGCCAAATGCAGAAGTGCTAACAACAAGAGCTGGGGGAAGCAGAGGCAGTCCTTGTGCAGCTGGGAAGAAACAAGGAAAGCAAGACAGGGACATCAACCCCAAATAAGTTGTCAGCAGCTAGACCCAGTAAAGCACAAAACATGACTAATTTTCTCAAGCAAAGCTCAGCTACAAAAAAAATATCGAGAACCAAAGCAGGAGAACAAACTGAAACATGCTGTCCTCTGCTGGAAGTGGCTCTGGAGGAGCTTGAAAGCAGAAGATGATCAAGACCACTAGTCCTTTGATCTTCACTGGAACAGAAGATAGAAACGTCATTTTAAAGCTGCACAGCCTTGCCTAAATGTGGCTGTTACCTTTTGAACTCCAGCTAACACTGCACTTTTACATAGCCAGCATCACTGTCACCAAAGGGGCACTCCTGCTGCCTGTCTCTCCTACACCACCACTACCAGGAGATCATCTGCTGCTCTCCCACACGCCTTCCCGCGTGGCAACAGAAGTGCTTGCGTGGCCGTAGAGAACAGGATCATGGAACCAGATGAAAGCTAACACTTTTTTCTAAAACAAAAAAACATAAATCCTTTGTTGCAATCCAGTTCCTTCATCCTGTTCACTTACAACACTATATCAAGTTAAGTAAAGCTTTCCGGCTGCGTCTTTTGAATGTAATTCACGTGTAGTTTAAAAATATAAACAGCTCAATATACACATCACAAGAAAGATGAAAAGACATAAAAAACAAACAAACAAACAACCCAGAAAGGGCTGCTACTGCAGTATGAGGATTCTATCGTGTGTACCTAGAAAAAATTTACAGTAGAGCCTTTAAAACTTCCACACTAAGGAAGATCTCCAGATCTGAAAGCAAATGAGTTCAGACTATGTATGACTTAAATCAGCTAGAGCCAGCTGTGGGAATTATCTAAGTGTTCCTCTTTGGGGAAAAAGAAAAAAACTCATGACTCTTGTTACAAAAAAATACCGAACGAGTAAACACCACCATCAGCACAGGTTCACAAGAGGATTTTCCAACATTTAAAACAGCATCAAACCTTCAGATAAAGCACTCCCCATTCAGGAGACTTAACAGGCCAAAACAATAAAACAAATGACTTCTTTTTTTTTTCCTTAATTATCCAAGCACATCACTATATACAAGTGAGAAGTGTTTAAGCTGATGAGAAATGTCTTTTCCTCTACGTTCCCCGTTTCACACCCCGAAGCCTCACACCCCTTCGGGCCAGGAGCCGGTACCGACTACCACACCGAACACGCCCAGCCCCGTGTGTTTCTCCCCCGAGCACTTCACTACAGGGAAGCAGCCGAAAGCAGCGCTGCGGACCCACACCGCGATCCAGCCCCCGGCCTGAAACGGAACCTCTGGCGGCAGCGCTGCCGCCGGGAGAGGCAAACGGGGGCCCGGGGGGGTCCGGTG